TTTGATTAATTCTAGTTAACCCGAAAGGAAGTATTAACTTCCTGAGTTAATCACTAATTCATTCACCCGTTATAATAAAATTTTATGAGCCTCCTCGACAGTGCTCAGTAGCGACACCTAGGTTAAACTTGCATAACTACCATGTTTTACTAAAATTAAAGTTTAACAAACAAATTGATGATAAATGAATATATAATAAATATATTATATTGACGTACGGACGTACGAAATAAAAAGCATTACTGACAGTGACGTCATTTTTCTTATTTTTTATCTTTTTCATATACCTAGTATAAAGTAGTGACATCTAGTAGGCAAGCGGGAACTAAATAAAATGAATGTTGCCCCTTTTTTATTTTGGTACAATTGGAATCATACCTTTTTTTACTTAAACAAATATAATAAAACCTCGTAAAAAATGAAAGCAACTTATAAAGGTGAGTTTGTTGTATCCAACATACACATTTTGTGTTATTTCGAAGTAATTTTTTACTTTTGGGGATAATTACTATTAGTATTTTGTTATTATGATGGCGGATTGACGTATTGATTATTGATGACATACTGAGATCACCGCTAAAATCTAACAAGATTTATCAAATTTAAACAATTAATTAATTTGTAGAATATAAGGTAAACTTGCTTAATTCGTACCTGCGCCTAAATCGTACCTCGTCTATATCTCGGCATGGGTAATAGTTACCAGCGCCTCTGATGGCATAAAATGTCAATAATAGTCGGCCAGATTGCCATATGACAAATAAACACCTGTTACGTTGCTCCCGACAAAAATATTGAATGGGTAAGTTTTTTCTCACTTTTTCTCACTTCTTGAGTAATTTTTTTGGATACTTCACAAGAACTGTCTTCCAAGTATACCGTTCATAAGTTGTTTAACTGTTTATTATATATTTATACGTATATTTGTGAATATATTTCACATGGTAAAGCCGGCTTGTTCGTTGACAGTTTTTTTTGCGGCTAATTTGAAATTCATTTGATACTTGTTCCTAATTCGTACTCGGAGCAACTTCTTAAAACGTACGTAACTTACGATTTAGGAAAACAATGTTTTATATCACAGTAAATATTAATTACTTACTTGATTATTTTTTAGATTGTGTTTTTATTTAATAAAACTAAAAAAAAACATTATTTTATGCAGTAATTGTGAAGTATGGGTACATGAGCTATGTGCAAGACGAATTTAATAGAACTAAATTTTATTACTGCGATGGCTTTCAAGATTCGGAAAAGATCATTCGCTGTATTAATAAGAATTAGGTAATCTAGGTACATTAAGATTAAAAAGAGTAGAAGATTATTAAGATTGTGATTTTTAAGACTGTAAAACAATGATAGGATCTCAAAGTCCGATTTAAGAATATACTGGTACGATTTAAGATCAATGGTCTTAAATCGTACTTTTTTTAAGTTTTTGAAAATTGTTTATTTCTCAGAAGTTTATAAGATTTATGTTATTTTTTATCGGAATACTAATAGAACATTAGTTTAATTATAACTACTTAATATAAATAACTGTGTATCATTGTTCATTTCCAAAATTTTCGAGGTTCTCCTTAAGTGGTACGAATTAGGCAAGTTTACCCTAGGTATAAAATATGTTACAAATTGATATACATAGAGAGATGTACAATATCGGCAACTGCATTTTTTTCATAACATTACTTAATTCCTACAATAATATATTAAAATTACACAATTGTCCTACTTAAAAACATTACACTCACAGAACACAAATGTCAAAGGATTAAGAAATACAACATGCCAAGAGGGTTATGGGAGTCATTATGTCGTGGTCAATAAATTAAATTAATTAATAAAGAAGTCAAGTTAACAATAAAGTTATTACTGCATGTCACACTACTTAGTATAATTGTATATGTATATGTTTGTCCTGTAAGTACTCTTTGACACTATAATAACATTTGTTTAGTGAAAGGTAAATTTTTGTCAAAATTGGGCTATTTGGTGTGATAAAAATGCTCCGTAAAGAATACTTTTATTAATTGGTTTTTCTAGAATGTTTATCAATCTGTAGTCGTTTTTATTACTTAGATTTTTATTGTAACCTAAATTAACGTGGAAGAGCCTTACTTCGGCACGACTCGATCGGCTCGACCTTAGTGATACCACAGTCTCACAGAAAACCGGGGTGAATCAACCACAGCGTAGTGTTTCGTCGTGTAAGTGAGGTTACCGGAAGCCCAATCCTTTCTTCCCCGATCCCTTCCTAATGCCAAAATCTACAAAGCCTTGTCACCCAAAAGGTCAGCAACGCACTTGTAACTCCTCTCTTGTTGCGGGTGTCCTTGTGCAGCGCTGATTGCTTACCGTCTGGTAAGCCGGATACTCCTTTGCCGAAATCTATAATTATAATATATCTAATTTTTGATTGATTTAACTAATTTTGGTCTTGAATTATTGGTGGAAGTTAAGTTTTGTACGTAGAGTAAATAAAAAAAATCTTGAAAAAGTATAAAATGAACTTTCACGCAGGCGGTGCCGCGGACGACCGCTAGTATCACACAGAAATAACGTAATGATCTAGGGTACATCTTAAAAGTAGTATTAAAATAGTTAGGATTTCTATTTTCACTCAAAAATAAGTTCGTACAATTGTAAAATAAAGAAACATATTAACTCTCTTTTTCGCCATTTAGTATCGTACTATGTGCTAATAAAACTATTTGTTGATTTCAATCTGTAAATCAATATGAAAGACCTTTGTTCAGAGGTAGACGTCTCGTGTCTACAACGAGATTGTGAATTAGTAAAAGAAAATAAAATCCTAATCCATACTTTTAGAACAAGGTTTTTATAATAGTTTTTTTTCAGTAGATTGTAATAGGCTCAACTCGACGATTCTATGTTTAGTTTATTATAAACCGAATACTACTAAAATCATAATCACACCATTTATAGTGACACAAAAGTAATTTAAAAAGTACAATTATTTTTTAAGATTTGATACTGGCAACAATGCCGACCAATATCACTTAGAGCCATCTGTGTTCTTTTTTAAGAAACCATGTTTATGAAAACTTTAACTGATGGCTCTGCAGGTCGTATAATGTTCTGATTTTAAAATAGCCGTCTTCAAGGCTTATGGTTTTACCTTGAATTGATGATCATTATAAGTTTTCACTTTTTTGTAGATAGACAGAAAATTTTTGAGGTGATTTGGACGCCTAGACGTATATTTTTAAAGAATGTTTCGATTCCCTTGCAATTTGAAAGTACCCTTACGTCCTTACGTCAGGTAGCTTTTGTTACCTTTTTTGCGCAAATTTTTACTGAGTGTTTTGGCATACTTTAAATCTAATTAAAATATTTTTTTAAATATTAAGAGCCAGTGAAAAGTCGTAGCGTACGACAATAACTTGCAACTAGAATAATTCTCACAGTATCCATCATTATATAAAGATTTCCATCGTTTTGGACAGTTAAAGTGTTAAAGTTGACTATTAGGTAGTCTATGATGAGATAGAAATCTATTATCTAAAGGTAGTTGTTGTAGACATTTTATGACAGCCGGGGTTGCGGGATAAGCGCAATAAGGGACCGCGACCTCGGCCCAGAGCAGGAGAAGGAACGGGGGGTTTTTAGTCAGTAAGAGTGTGACACTCTCTCTCGCCTTACCCTGGGCGGGAAAGTCATTAGATGATGAAAAAAAAACATTTTATGAGCACAATAAAGTTGCTCAGTAGCGACATCTAGGTAAAATTGGTGAACTACATTGTTTTACTTAACAGTCGCTATATACTAACGTATGATTATGTTTATCTAAGGGGCATACTACTATTAGATAGTTTCAACTCATAAAAATGATCATAGATACACTCGGACCAGTACTAATATTTACATATATATATATATATGAAGATCCTTCATCAGTACGATACTTATCTAAAACGTTTACCTTATACATATTACACTCGTGGATATGAAGCCAATTCATTTTGATAAATGAGTTTAATTAATAGTGTACTACACTATTAATTGCAGCAAAGAGTATGTACCCAATGGGAAAATTGACATACTGATGGGTATTGATTTGTATCACAGTTTATGAACGAGTATGATAAGTGTATGTTTATACTTTTTGGAACAGATTCAGAAAAAGGACCAAGGAGATTCGTTTATGGGAAGTGACGCCCCAGCAAGGGAAAACTAACCAACAGTCATCGATCAAAAAATTTAATGTTCATTTTACCGTGTTTGTAGGTTAGGAATTGTGCAAATGTACGAGTGTATGAAATAGGTAATTTCAATGTTGAGAGCACTCATCAGGTCCACAGCACAGCGCGATGATGGATGTCCTGTGAGTACTGGTACACGCTACGCACGCAAGATTCGGTCAAGTTCATTTTCTTCCGCTCATGTAAAATACGCATAATTATCGGCTCGAACGATGACCAGATTTTGACGTGGTGGGGGTAAGTTCTCGTATTGTGTATTTTCTAATTGTTTTTGAAATCTGATCCAGCAGAAAAACTGTGTATACAGTTTTGTTGGACATTTTATACTTTTTATAATGTAAAATGTACCTTTTAAGCAATAATAAATAAATAAATAAATAATAATAATTATCTAGCAAATATCTAGGGGTCTGTTTTACTATCTACCGATAGTTTCCGCACAAGTTTCGATTTGTAACTTGTTCATAGGATAAAAATACTTTTTGCGCTCTTGACGTAAAATTAGCTGTGTCCAGCAGTACCTACCTATCACGAGTATCACCCGCGTAGTTTTCGTTTTCGATTTAGCTTTTATCTTATAGCAGAAAAGCAACTCAATGATGATAACGTGTCATATAGTTGGCAGTGTGAAAAGCTTCGCCCTGAGTGGCGTGAGAGGGAATGTCAATCTGTTATTGACTAAAAACCACCATACATCTTCACCTGCTGGAACCAAGCCTTAGCACATCATTAAAGTTGCCTCCGCAACGTGCTGAGTAACGCTCCCTGTTTGCGACCATGACTGTTTCGCAGAAGACAGATACTTTGAAAGCACGGTTTAAGAAATTGTCGCCACAAATCGTTTCTCTAAGGATAAGGTGGTGTCCGTATGCTCCGCTTCCTTTGGGTGGTCCTCGCAATGACGATATCTGGTGGTTCCATCCCGATAAATTCGAAACAGTCAGTCCGTGTATCAACGTGTGTCAGTCCGAAGGACACCGTGGCGCGTCCTCAAAGAGAGGTCTTACCTCTATGATAAAAGCAAGTGAGAAATTATCTGGTTAAAACCCCGGGATTATATATTTTCTAAATCACTGAAAACATCAACCTATATAAAATATATGGAGATCCGAGAAATTACAGAATATAATTTTCATCCCCATGGAATCCCACGGGAATAAAGAGGTACAAATTGCATTAAGCTCCCGGAACTCTCTTAACCTCTCAGTCTCAGTCAGCGAGTCTCAGTCGATTTGCGTGATATTCAGTAGAATGATAAAGTGAATGGGCATAAAATAGTATTCCTCCTAACAATGAAAATAATAATATAAAAAAACCTAACATGGCTTTTTTATTTAAAGGACTCACTAATGGTCCCATAGTTATGTGTGATGATAAATCAGGTGAAGGTCTACTAGAGATACTTGTTTGCCTATACCTTGCATCTTGTTATTTGGACTTTGATCTTCCCATTAAGATTTTATATATTTTAAATATGTACACAAACTTAGCACCAATTTAAGAATTTACTTACCTACCTAAGCACCTATATAAGATCCGTTTTATGTGTGGAATTGATGGTATGTACGGTCTATTAATAAGCAAATCCCATGTAACAGAACAGGTACAGAGGAGGAATACTTGCACCTGCGCTCTCGTTTGCCAGCGCCCGTGCCCGCCTTTCCCGTAGTGTTGGATCGACTCCCGTCCTGCGAATCAATCAGCTCTATGGCGCGAGATAGGTAAAAAAATAATTACTTTAAGTATTAATAACAAAAAAAGAAAGAAAGAAGAATTCTTGACGTTGTTTTGCTAATGTGATGCAATGCTGGTGTCCTGTCTGCAGAGTCCCCGTGGCCACAGAGGAAAGTTTGGCGCGCGTCAAACTGGCACGCTTGTCAGCTTACTTCTCAGTGTGCCCGCCGGCGGTTCCAGTGCATCTAGTGCCTGTGTCTGCACTTTCCAAGCATCCTACACTCCAGCCTCGCTTGTCTACCCCTCCACCTCCGCAACCAGCTGTTGAATGGAATGTAAGTCAGTCATTTAAAAGTATAGTATTTTAATAAGCATTTATCTAAAATTATACACTTGACGACCCATATTTCAGACTCCTATTATAGCTTCATCCAAAGGGAGATCTTCATCTGTAAGAGATCGCCTTGTGCGATAAGACCGCCCATTGTACGCTCAATGTTTGTAAGCTATCCTTTATAACTATGTTGTGTACAATAAAGTATATAATAAATTATAAATAAATAAGTATGTGGAATTGGTTCCTTACGAATATTCTTGCAACTTTAAGTTTTACCAGGTAGAGCGAAATTATGAAGAAGATACAATCGAGAAAACACCGAAACACTGAAGTCTAACGCGTTCTAAGAAGGATATGAAAACCTCAAATGTTTGGATTTTTTCAATGTAGAAAACGGCTATAAGTAACAATCTAAACATTTTGTTTCAAGCACGTTGGGGAAGACATCTTGTGCAACTTTAAAACTTGGCGATACTACGGCGTCGGGGACCGAGAGACGATCTCCCCGGCCCGGCTCTGGGTGGGACAAGTCATTTTATGACTTGCCCGCCTTAAAAATGGTACAGGGATTATGTAGATTTCCTACTACTACAGAATTTTAGATACTGGCGTTACTGATTTATTTATAATTACTTAATGTGTGTAATTAAAATTACTTAAAAACAAAGGAGTTGCTATAATGCAGATGCGATGCAAAAATGCAGTGCTCAGTGTACTTTGCGGGCTGATGTCGACGCTCCCGCTGCCACTGTCACCGCCCGCATCACCCGCTGCACCCACTTCCCCATTGATTCCTACGTCCCCTGTGTCGCAAACGTCACGCACTATGTCACCGGCGTCACCAGCCCTATCGCCTGCATCACCAACGTGGCCCAAGACACCCGAAACACCTCCAATCTCCACACCACGTGGAGCAAAACGCATACGCCGCTTCAACAGGTGCGCAAACTCATTATATAATCCAGAGCACATTATACTATTCATTACATAATTGATACATTAAACGTTAATTATTATCGGGGGAAGAAGAAATGCTATGTCGGTTTTAATAGGTATTTGGGTTCGAATATGGCATGGAAGAACAGGTACTACAACACTCATTCCAATTATGAGGCCATGACGACAAAGGACTCACTAATTTTTCCTCACTACAGGCTAAGAAATAATGGTATTTTTCGAAATAAGCAATGAATTGGCTAGGCCCACTTCTATAGTTTCTAGAATAGTCCTTAAAGTTCCCTATATTTAACAAACTATATGGATTTTTAGCTGAAGGTTTTTTTACGTGTCTGGCTGAATTTTTTGTGTTCTATTAGTTCTAAATTTTATTTGGTACAGAAACCTGCTACCATCGGCCTTGGCGAAGGAGCAGAACACAGACAGCACCGACAGCTCAAGCAGCACAGACAGCTCAAATAACGGTGCACGTCAGCGACAGTATCAACGCCCGCGGCATGTGGCTACACAAGCTCGGATTAAGTAACTGTTTTTTGTGAAAGTAGAATTTTCTTTCGAAAATAACAGAATTTAGTAGGTATTTGTATGTAACCATATGAATAGTGCGAACTAGCTGCACATTTACAAGAGTTACGGAGTGTTCCAGCCGTATTCTTAGTATTGGATGTCATAGTATGATTAGTAAAACGTACATTTAATTTGTGAGATCTTTTTGAAATAGTCTAGAAGGTACTGTGTAGATTTATGAAATACTGACTTTATGTTACTACAGAATGTTATGTTAAGAATATGCGAATTCCCTAGACTTCAACAAATATTTTAAGATCAAAATTATCCAAAACTGACAAGTGGTTCTCGAGTTTTAGCGAGACTAATGAACAGCATAGCAGCTATGTATATTAAAGGACGCAGACTGCAATAGATATTATCACACGTAGCACGGTCTTTATTTTCAAGGTTTTGTTTTTTTGGTGTTAAAACCAATAATGATGAATTTCAAAATGTTATTTAACAGTTTTTTTTTGTCAGGGGAAAATCTTCAAATGACTTCTCCCGCCCAGGGCCGGCCAGGAGGGAGTGTCAGACTCTTACTGACTAAAAACCCCCCTGTTCCTTCTCCTGCTCTGTGCCGAGGTCGCGGTACCTCATTGCGCTTACCCCGCAACATGTTATTTAACAGTGGGACTATGTTTCAGCACAAAAAGGCTAGATCGGAATCATAATAATATCACGGACTACCACAAAATAAACTCTTTGAGGATTTTCAATAAGTGATACTATATACTTAATTATTTAAACGGGAGGGGAACCTTACGGTAGAGAAAAATTAATACTAAAAAAAATCGTCATTAGTATTTTCTTTAATTGAAATTATATTATTTACTCGTCTTTACGCGACAAATATTAACGATGGCATCATTAGTAAGCTCTAATAGAGTGCACTATTTAGGTTTTTGATGGGTCAACTATATTTTTTTTTTATAATTTTTGATATTACGTGTGCACGTCAGTAAATTATAATTAATATACATTTTTATGTTTTTAATTCTTGACCTTTTTTCGCAGAAATGAGCCGATAGACGAATCTCAGAAAGGTAAGGCTCTCAAACTACAATTCAGGTTATCGCATAGTCTTATCAATTATTTAAAAGATGTGAGGAAATTTACAAACACATGACCCTGGTTCAGAACACCAGTAGGTAAAAATTATAAAGTAATGATATGATCTTCATAAGCCATCCGTCAGTATTTTTAGCATAACCAAAATATGAAGTATTAGAATGAAACCTATATTTGACTTGAAAAGAGACTGACCTCTGAGTTTGTTTCGGCATTTCTTTTCAGAGTAGTCAGATGGGAAATACCGGCTTCATCTAGTTTTTTACATATAAAAGTGCGTTTTTACGTGTAAAAGTGTCGTTTTATGACTTTTTTGCAAAAATAAATTCATTGTTCCATTGTATAGGTAGGTTATTATACATTAAGTAAGTCTTAAGTTGTTCGAGAGGATAATATCAGACCGCCTCGTCGGGCACCTGTCTGGAAGGGGGCCGGATTTAGCGGACGACCAGTTCGGCTTCCGCAGAGGGCGCTCCACGGTAGACGCCATCATGCGCGTGAGGGACCTCACGACGGGGACTGCGTTGGCCAGAGGGCGAGTCGTCGTGGCGGTGTCTCTGGACATCGCCAACGCCTTCAATTCGTTGCCCTGGAGCTGCATTCTGGAGGCACTCCGGTACCACCGGGTGCCTGCCTATCTCCGTCGTGTAGTCGAGGCTTACTTGACGGACAGATGCGTCATCTACCCCGGTCACCGGGGCGTGTGGAATCGGCGAGAGGTGTCGCGCGGTGTTCCACAGGGATCGGTCCTGGGACCTCTCCTGTGGAACATCGGGTACGATTGGGTGCTACGCACCGACCTCCCGAGCGGCGTCAACATTGTTTGTTATGCTGACGACACGCTGGTGCTGGCAAATGGGAGGTCACATCAGGCGGCGGCCGACCTGATGTCGCAAGCGGTCGCGACAGTCGTTGCAAGGATCCGGCAGTTGGGACTCGAGATGGCGCTTCACAAATCCGAGGCCATGTGTTTTTATGGCCGTCGGAACGCGCTACCTCCAGATGGGTCCCAAATAATGGCAGGAGGAGTTACCATCGGCGTCGAGTCGGCGATGAAGTACCTGGGTCTCGTCCTCGACAGCCGATGGAACTTCACGGAGCATTTTCGTCGTTTGGCTCCTAAGTTGGAACGGTCTGGGGCCGCGCTCAAGCGGCTCCTTCCCAACCTCGGGGGGCCAAACGCCTCCTGCCGGAGGTTGTACATGGGGATTGTGCGATCCATGGCCCTCTACGGTGCCCCTGTGTGGGCGCCGGATTTGAAGCGGCGGCCGGCTCGTACGCTGGTCGCGTCCCAGAGGGTCATGGCTATCCGAATAATCCGCGGATATCGCACGATCCCCGGGGAGGCGGCGAACCTCCTTGCCGGATCACCGCCATGGGATCTGGAAGCGAAGGCGCTCGCGCGCGTCTACAGTTTGCGCGCAGACGCGCGTCGCCGGGGCGAGGATCCTCTGCCGCGCCAAATTAGTGCGTGGCGGAATGAGCTCCGGCGAGATCTCATGGCTGAGTGGAAGCAGCGACTGTCGCAACCGAGGGCCGGGCACGCTACTATAGCAGCGGTAAGACCCCTCTTTGAGGAGTGGCTTGAGAGACGCCACGGCGTCCTCACCTTCCGCCTGACGCAGGTGCTTACCGGGCACGGCAGCTTTGGTAGGTTCCTGTTTCGGATCCAGCGGGAGGAAACGCCCGAGTGTCGTCGTTTTGCGGATCACCTGAAGGAAACACGGTGGAGCATACGGTGGCGGAGTGCCCTGCTTGGGCTGAGCACCGCCGTGTTCTCAGGGAAGTGATCGGCGGCGGCGACCTCTCGCGCCCGGCCTTAATCGAGGCCATGGTGCAGCGTGAGAGGAACTGGAAAGCTATCTCCTCCTTCTGCGAAGCAGTTATGCTCGCAAAGGAGGAGGCGGAGCGCGTGAGGGAACTATCCTCCTCGCGCCCCAGCCGCCGCAGAAGGCGACATTCCGGACGTCGGGGATCGAGAGATGATCTCCGGCCACCGTAAGCGCGGGTCTGCGGACGGCGAGTAAGGGTAGCTCGCCGCCCGACCAGAACCGGACCCGAGCGTACGGCGCGTAGCGTTCCGCGCGCGCCTCAAAGAGCCAATAGACCACCACAGTCGGGGCCCTAAAGGGCTGATGTTTAGCCGGGGCTGCGGGGTAAGCGCAATGAGGCACCGCGACCTCGGCCCAGAGCAGGAGAAGGAACGGGGGGGTTTTTAGTCAGTAAGAGTCTGACACTCTTTCTCGCCTTACCCTGGGCGGGAGAAGTCATTGGATGATTTTCCCCTGACAAAAAAAAAAAAAAAAAAGTCTTAAGTTATCGACATAGCCCAAAGGATTAGCAAACTGAAGTGGCAGTGGGCAGGTCACATCTGTCGAAGAACCGATGACCGCTGGGGTAAACGTGTTCTAGAGTGGAGACCACGTCTAGGCAAACGTATTGTAGGGCGCCCTCCACCTAGGTGGACTGACGACATCCGTAGGGTGGCTGGCAGTCGGGCACGCTGTTATAGCAGCGCTAAGACCCCTCTTTGAGGAGTGTCTTGAGAGACGCCACGGCGTGCTCACCTTCCGCCTGACGCAGGTGCATACCGGGCACGGCAGCTTCGGTAGGTTCCTGTTTCGGATCCAGCGGGAGGAAACGCCTGAGTGTCGTCATTGTGAGGACCACCTAGAGGACACAGTGGAGCATACGGTGGCGGAGTGCCCTGCTTGGGCTGAGCACCGCCGTGTTCTCAGAGAAGTGATTGGCGGCGGCGACCTCTCGCGTCCGGCTTTAATCAAGGCCATGGTTCATAGCGAGAGGAACTGGGAAGCTACATATCTCCTACTTCTGCGAAGCAGTTATATTTGAAGCAGTTGTGTTTTATTGATAACCTGAATATCGCTTTGCTTATTTCGAGTAAAATGACAGAAAAAAATGCATTTCGTCTGAGTGGTAATCAATTTCTATAAGATAAATAGAATATATAAATAGAAATAAAGAAATAAGATCCATCCTTCAACAATCTATAATAAAATTCTTGCAACCTGTAGGCCTACCATGATTTGTTAAAGCATCAATCTTCCGGGTGAGAAAGAGGGATGGAGATATACACCTTTTATAAATAGCTCCATTCCTTGACGCTTTAACACTTCATGATAGGTCCTAACCTTTAAACTGACAGGTGAGCAAGAGCGTGCGACAGACGAGTGGCTGGGTGGAGTGCGAGCGCTGCGTGACTCGCACGTGCGGCTAGTACTGCGTCAGCTGCGCCACATCGAGCGCCTAAACCGAGCGCTGGACCGCGCCTGTCCGCGTAGACCACGAAACTCCCGAAGATCACGCAGCACGCATCCGCGGCCTCGATGATTCGTCCCGACCGGACAGATTCTGATTTGTATTTCGTTCTTTTTTGGTTTCGTTGTTGTTATTTATAGCACGACGTTGCAAAATATAAAGTATTTGTTAATAAACACTGAAGTTTCCCTAACGGTGATTTTTTGTGGTTTTTTTAACTATTATTTTATAGTGTGGTGCATCCGACATTCCTCACCGTTTTATACTAATCTTGAAGTCAATTTACTTCAGTCATCATCATCATCATCATTAGCCTATAAGTGCCCATTGCTGAGCAAAAGACTTTTTCTCGCACGGAGAAGGATTGAGCATTAATCACCACGCTTGCTCAATGCGGGTTGGCGATTTCAAACTTATAATTAGAAATTATAAGTTCAGGTTTCCTCACGATGTTTACCTTCACCCTATAAGTCAAAGGTGTCTACATTATCATAGAAAGTACGTATAACTCGGAAAAAGTCACATTGGTACTTGCCGTGTTTCGAGGTTTCGAACCCACACCCTCATGAATGAGAAACGGGCTCCTTAACCTCCGGGCCACCACGACACATAGTTCAGTCATGTAGTCTTAAAAATAGAGAATTTTTTTCTCGTGAATTGTTCCACATTGAAGGCTGGGCAAAAGAAGTACGAAGGAAAACAGTATTCATATTTGTGGAAATATTGCAAATGAGAGGACAAGAACTAGGTATTCATCATATTACATAAAATTAATTTTAAATGAAGGTTATATTTCATAACGTACGTATACAATGCATCATGTACCTGCTTTCATATTGTATGACAAAAACGAATGTTACCTACTATATCAGTAAACGCCATACAATTGTGGCGCCATCTAATGGCACGAATCAAATAATTAGATTATTTACATATGAAGTCGAAAGGTAGAATGGCATCCTGCTGAGCTACATGCTGGTTGTGCACCTCATAATTGAATTAAAATATACCTCAAGGTGTTCGTTATTTATCCGAGGAACTACAGCAAGTAAACGCAAATCAGTCCTGTTTTATATTTGGATTTTTGGTCCATTCCAGATTACCCGTCTTCTGCGTGTAAAAAACGAGGTGTGGGTACACCGTACACCTCGTGAGACCACCTAAGTCTGCAGCGGGAAGTTTTTTTCCTACTGTTCACCTTTGTTCACCTGGGTGTACCGTAAGAAATAAAAAATTTCCTCCGCCCACTTTATTATCAAAACTCTTTATACCTGAAGAGCAAAGAGATTAATGATTAAAACATATTATGCATTACGATATTCTCCTCTGTCTTCTACTGATTGTAAACTGGTGCCATGAAGTCGTAATTTGAGTTCAGGAAAAAGATGGACCCGTATCTGCTGCTGCTCCCATTCGCCAGATATGGGTCCAGCCGAATTCTATCTTTTTTTCTTATTACTCAGCGATCTGTGGACTTGATTCTCAAATCTGGTTATTCGAAAATATTCGTAACGAGATTTTTTGCATTACGGATAGTTTGAATAACATTTACTAGCTATGGGGGTATATTAAGGAATATACTCTACTAAGGGTATATATTTCCTGATTCAATATCATGTCTACGAATATTGTTATAGTTCCGTGTACAGATTTGATTACCTTCTGTTTGATTCTGTTACATCATGGATGAGATCTGTAGAGTATGGTTAAAAATATACTATCATAGGATATAAAATTCACGACGTTCAAAATGATTGGCATATATTTAGAGGCAACTCTTTTCCCTAAACTAATTAATTACTCTTTGAGTGTAAGAACATTGAAATATTAAGTGACGGTCAGCAAAGAGTATATATAATACGTATAAAATAGTCAGGCTTGTGCAAACGTCATATTTTTTAATGTTAATGTCATCATAGATGAGAAAAACGCCTCAGGAAGCAGTGACAGTCCAGAAGTATTATTTCAAAGAGTATAATAATATATAGGGAATTATTTTTACTTTGCATTACACATAAGTGAAACGCCCTTTGAAGTAGTAGATGGCTCAGCAGCTGCGTTCCGGAAAGAGTGACCTTGAGGTGCTGGCGCCATGTTCTTTTATAAGTTTGTAGCAACAAGGTTCGAGGATGCGAAGGCAGCACGTGAGTACCGCGGTTGTATTCATCTTCACTTTAAAACTATTACAACTATATTGTAAACAGGCAAGCAAATGAAAAAGGTTTGCCACAAATAGGCCGATTAAGTCGGGATGATACCATAAGAGAAGTCATTTGAGGATTTTCCCCTCACAAAAAAAAAGGCCTAAGAGAAAACCTGCAAGAAACCACCACGATATTATGTTTTACCACATTAGTGAGGTGGACAAAGACACAATCCTCTCCCTCCATCATTCTTTATCAGCATCAGATTTGGGTATTAAAAACCGAAAAGCCCGAAACGAATTCGTAGCTCCTCTACATCTAAAATCACTGTTACAGTATTGCCCGGTGAGAGCGAAGAAGACTTCGACCCGCACGCACATCGTGAAATACCGAAACCAACCACGTGAGTTGAAACTAAGTTATGCATATCTAGGAAATCACACGAGACCTTTCATCGAAAATCCTGCAGTGCCTGAATTTTAGAGACATAGACCGTGACCTCTGGTTTCTCAGAGAGACTTAAGGCACCCAGCAAGCGACTTAAAGATAAAGATAAAGATAATTTTATTTGTCAAAACAAGTGTAGGTTATAATAATACATGCAAAAATGATATTTACTATAAATCCACTTATTGATTGTCTTATCAATTATACAATGCGTCTATTATTATCAGCCGTTATCGTCTCACTGCAGGGCAAAGGCCTCCCTTTCTCCCACTCGTCTCTGCACAAAGCTTTCTTCGGCCAATCCGCGTCGAAGATATCAAGTTCGTCCAGCCATCTCCTTCTGGGCTTGCCTCGGCGTTTAACGTTGTTGACAATGAATCTAATAAAAAGTAAAATGTCAAATCAAAATATAATGTCAACAACAATTTTTAAGTGAAGATGGTTAATAAGTAAATAGGTTGTTACAATACGCTTAAAGCTAAGTAGGTACATTTATGGACCCCGTAAGGGCACAGCAACATTTAATAAAATGAAGTTAAAATTTAATTATAATAATATAATTAAAATGTAATATATAATCGAATTTAAATTAAACATATAAAATAAAATTATTACCATCAAAATAAAATTGGGGTCAGAATAAAATGAAAATAAAATATGTCAATAAAAGGCAAAGTCAAATCAAATCAAGTCATTACAATCGAATCGAAATAATTAGAATCAAATTAAAATAGAATCATATTAAAATAACAAAAATCAAATATAACAAAAGTAAACAAAATAAAACATCAACTCTAAATGTCAGTAATCAAGATTATACACTTTTCAATAATTCAGTCAACATCAAAACAATAACAATAACACAATTACTTTAAACACATATAGGTACTTATGGCCTGTAGACGTGTATTATGCACTTCTGTGTGCTCATAAATGTCTCATTTCGTTAAAGTCTTTCTTTAAAATAGTCTTCAATACTGTAATAGGCCTTATTTAGTAGAAACTGTTTTAATTTCATCATTAATCTATTGTATTCATCTTCATTTCATTTCTGATTAATTTTTACAGTTATTCGGAGACCATGATGCATATGCTCAAGGGATGCCTGGGCGCCGGTTTGCTCGCTATGCCCAACGCCTTCAAACGAATGGGTATCTTGTATGGTACAATCGGCATGATTTCTATTGGTCTTTTTGCTACTTACTGCATACAAGTGCTGGTGAGTTTACACTGCTTTTAAATAACGAATGCATCATTTTTTAGAAGTCAGTAGTCAGTATAATATAATAGTATTCTTACACTTACTCATAACCGAACTTTCCTCTCCTTTTTTTAAGTCATTTTTTCAGACTACGATAAAGCTGAGATAGCTAGCTTTTGCAGTTACTGGCAAACAAATAATAATTAGCTGTTCCCATAATATTTTATTTTAACCCCTTACCAAGCTATCTGCGATTACTAAATCCTAATTATTTCCCAAAAACTACGGCAACGCACTCCTAACAACACTATGTCCTGCTAAATGTCGGACAGTCCAGTAGTTTCTTTATGGAATGAGAGTTAAAACGTTAGACGTATTACCAGATAGTAAGTAGTCTGTGGCACCAGAGGAGTTACAAATGCGTTGCCGGCCTTTAAAGAAGGAGTACGCTTTTTTTTATAGGTTTGAAGGTCGTATCCGTTCCCAATTATCTACCACCGATGAAAGATCATTTCATTGGAGGATTTATGTTGTGGTATCGTTGTTGGCAGGTCCACGCCCAATACAAACTCTGCAAGAGGATGAGACGTGGTTACATGGCGTACAATAAGAGCATGCGTGTGGCGGTGCAGGCCGGACCAGTCTTTATGCGTAGTTGCGCTGGATTTTTCGCAAATGCTGTAGACTTTTTTCTTTTCGTATGGCAAATGGGAATCTGTGCCATATATTTTGTATTCGTTGCAGAAAATGTAAAACAGGTATGTACTGGGTATTGATTAGAGACACTGAGAGTATTCTAAAAATACCCTGTATCTCTCTGTGGCAGCAAAGGTGTCCTGAAGCCAAAACCCTGGTTTTGGAACGGTATGTATGAAATAGTAATTAATGATATGAGGAAAGGGTGGTGAGGTGTGATGCTCAAAACAATTCAGATCAGCCAAAATGTCGTGACGGTCACAGCAGAACCGTGTATTATTCAGGCTTAAGGGAAATTATAAAGAGTACTTAAATAGGGGCTATGGTGCAGTTACAGGAAAAGATGTGTAACGGAATTTTAGTTCCTTTCACTCTGCCCCAAGTCCAAGGGCGAGAGGTCTTTTGCCTGTGTGTAGCTGATGCTAAATTGATATCTGAAGCGCTAATCGCTAGTCGTTATTCACTGTCAGCTTTTCAACTGCGGAAATATTACAAGCCTATTTTTAGGCTTGTAACGTATAGTAATTTGAATTAATTAGTAAGTAATTTCATGGTGAATCCTGTTGAAAAATAGTAACCATGGAGTTACTTGCTGGAAAAGATGGAGAAGAACCCATACAAATCAACACTTTGGAGAGAGCAAATATTTTTACAACATGACTGACGTACAGACTGATACTTTTTGGCTTTTTATATTTAATTGTTTTGATCACTGTATATTACAAAATAATGAAATGAGTTTGATTTCAGATAATAACGATTGCGTCCACTAAACTGAAACTCTTATTGACTTAAAAACTAACCACTCAGTGACAACTTTTGCTCTGAGCTGGCACTTTTATGCCAAAAAGTTCACGAATTCACGATCTCGGGGATTTTTTACCCCTGAAATGTATTTCTGTCGACAGATACTGGAATATTATGGACACTTTATAACCGTGCGATGGCTCATTGTTTACACTTACCCTCCGCTGTTACTTCTGAGTCTTATAAAGGATTTGAAGCTATTAACACCATTTTCAACACTTTCAAACTTTTGCGTAATGCTCGGATTGTATCTCGTCTTCTTTTATTTGATAGAAGATGAACCTATAATTGATGATAGCAAATTTGAAATAAAAGGACTTGAAGAAATTCCTGTCTTCATCGGTATCACCCTTTTTGCGTTGGAGGCAGTGGGTGTGGTGAGTGTCAATTGTCAAAAAGCCTCAATTTGCCACCAAAAGCTAAGTGCTAAGTAAAATGAATTATTTTTGTCGCCCTCATTTGCAGATCTTGGCGCTTGAGTACAACATGGAGAGGCCGAGAGACTTTACGGGTATATGTGGGCTGTTCAGTATCAGCATGTTTATCATCATCGGCATTTACGTCGTTTTGGGGATCTGCGGCTATCTTAAATATGGGGACGAATGCGAAGGATCCATTACGCTGAACTTGCCGCAAAATCAGAAGTATTAAAATACATATTATGTTAATTTTAAGACCCTACAAAAAGTGTTAGAAACGTAGATTGACATTCGTCTTGTCGTTGTATCATTAGATTGTATAAATTGAACCCTGACACTCTTTCTCCTCTTACCTAGGGCAAGAAATCATTGGATAACCTCACCTTAAAAAAGGTTCAGAAACTGTTTAGTTCGTAGATCGTACGGAACTCAAACGCAATTATATTAAAAAAAAATATAATCTAGCGGTGATTTCGGCTACTTAATTAAGGGTTGAATGACTAAATTCGGAAGGATGGGCTATGTCACCCTTTTTTGCATGATGATGATGGTTTTTGTTAATAGAATTTAAAATCGAGAATGGGTCCCCGATTCAACACATTATTTTCATAAACATTTCCGTAGCATTCCATAGTTAACATAGCAAAAAATATTTATAATTATACCTATTAGTTTGTACTCATACGTATGTATACGTTTAGGTACGTACGTATATAGATATTTTTGGTAACACTTTATTAATTATTTGTTATTTTATGATGTAATCTTATTATGCATTGCAGAAAGGCGCAAACAGCGAAACTGACATTTACGGTAGCTTTGTTTTTGTCATACCCTCTACAAAACTTTGTAGCGTGGCAAATCGTGTGGCGTAAATCAAGAAAAAAATTCAATATACGCTTCAGAAATGTGGCAGACTATTTGGTGCGAATTATCGTCGCCACTATACCCTGTAAGTTCCGTTATACCACTAATTTATTGTTTTTGCTTTATGTGTTAACCTTCCGTCTAACGTAGTCTTAGTCAAGGCCATGGTGCGGAGCGAGAAAAACGGCGAAGCCGAAACAGTTATGCTCGCTAAAAGGAAGCGGAGCGCATGAGGGAGCTATCCCCCTCCTCATGCCTCAGCCGCCGCAGTAGGCAACACTCCAGGCATTTTGGTCGAAAGAAGATCTTCGGCCACAGTAAGTGCGCGCGGATCTGTAGACGGTGAGTAAGGGTAGCTCGCCGCCTGACCAGAACCAGACCCGAGAGTTCCGCGTGCGCCTCAAAGAGCCAATAGACTATCACAACCGGAGCTCTATACTGCCGATGTTTAGCGAGGTCGTGGAGTAAGCGCAATGAGGCACCGCATCCTCGGCTAAGAGCGGGAGCAGGAACGTGGGGGTTTTTATAGTCAAAGAGTCTGACAAGAGAAAAGTAATTAAAAATTTTTTTAGTGACAAAAAAAATAATAGTCACCTTTTTTTCAAATCTGCGGATATTATTGACTACGTATGACTGCTTTACAGGGTATACGGGGCTTTGCCTTACTGTTACATGATTTGATGTGTTATTATCAGAACTATTTTGTGTGTGCGCCATTCATTTTTGAGTTTTGCCTCTTTAGTCGATATGTTTGTAAGGGATAAACATCGGCATCCAGTTCCATTCGGTTGTTACAAACAAAACACATGGCACTTTCTTTTACGTTCACAGATTTTTATGTCCGTAAGGATTGAGGAGCCACATCAGATTTTTAAAATCTGATCTCACCATTATTTAGCAGCAATGTAGCTTATTTTGCAGCAGGAAGTCGAGAATTTTTGTATAGGTACACCTTTATTATGGCGTTATTATCAAGTTGTGAAAAATCGACATCGATATCGTGTCGGCTAAAAAAATTACAGAGGTCAAAAGGTCACGAAAATCAGACATATATAATTAGAACGTCAGGATTGAGGAGCCAAAGAAAATGCGTTCATATACAAAATTTACTCTGTTTTACTATTTTACTTCTATACTGCAAAAACAAACACAACAACTGCTAAATGATCAATATGTCGAATATATTAATTGATCGCTCACATCCAATAGAAATTCACCTCTTGAGTTTAGATTGAGGAGCCATATTAAAAGTATTGTATTTTCTTTAATTTTAGCGCTACAGAAGCTAAATTTTTAGACGGCAATATGCAAAATTGCTACTAAATGATACAACATTTTCATAAATATTCATCTACTACTTAACGAGTTCCAGGTGGCTCCTCAATTCAAACGTTTAGATTGAGGAGCCACTTTTACATTAAAATAACTAGTGATATATTTTGCTGCTAAATCTAGACTTCGTGCTGCAAAATAAGCTAAATTGCTGCTAAATAATGGTGAGATCAGATTTTAAAAATCTGATGTGGCTCCTCAATCCTTACGGACATAGATTTTTTCGATTTTCAGAATCGGCTATAATTATGAACAACCGTTATAATATTTTTTTGTAGTAAATAAGTAATTTATATGGAAAAATTACGTTTTAAGTGTCAGCTAGACAATGCAAAATCGCCAATCTGCCTTGTCTTTTCCGTGTGAGCCTTTACTCGGCAATAAGCACATATCGGCTGGTAACGTGTCTGATGTTAAAAATAATGTCAAATGTCTATTTTTGACTTGTACCGGTCACCGTTGGGAATGTTATCCATGAAGTTGTAAAAACATACCTTGATCATTCAGCCAGGTAAGTCCACTGCGATAAAGAGGACTGCTGAAAAATTCAACTCTAACAACGTAGCACGAAGTAATGTAAAATCTTCTTATCGAAAATCTCACTGTGCCTGAAAGCCAGGATGCTCAACATGTGTGTTAGAGGCCAGAAGTTAGGGATAGGCATCCCTAACTTCTAGCCTCTTTAGTTGTCACTTGTCGTGCAACATGGAATACCTTTGTTTAGTAATCGACGTTTACCATTTGCTAATTCTGGTTTTGTATACAAGTACACTCAACATATTACACATTGCAATAGCACGAAATTACAATTTTTTTTTAAGTCTCTGTTTTGTTTTTTACAGTTGGTATGGCGGTGGCGGCGCCAACTTTGGAAGCCTTTATGGGGCTGCTAGGTGCGTTCTGTCTCACATTCGCAGCCATGGTGTTTCCTGCGCTCATGGAATTATGCGTGAACTGGCCTCAAAAATACGGATTCTGCCACTACAAATTGATCAGGGACATATTTATTATATTATTTGGCCTCGTTTGCTGTGCCTCAGGGGTCTATACCAGTCTCCTAGAAATTTATAAACATATATAGACTGTGACTGAATCACGCGCAAGCAAGCAAAATATAATTAACTAATGTATTTCATCCCTGTCTGCTATTTACTGTTGGCTATGTGCAAAGCGAGTAGTGGCGGACAGATAACGACCGCAGCGCACAACACGGCAGAAATTGGAAACAAATGCGGATGATCAGCTGTCGGTTTTTATTATTATATTAATTTTACAGTACAACTATTGAATAAATTGCACTTAAATAATGTCAACAATACAATTTAATCTTTAGTTTTATTTATGTTTGCAAAGAAAATTATGTTAACATTTTTATTATTTGACAGCTTCCGCAAATGTTGTAAACGCTACGCGTCGCCACCGTCGCGCGCATAGCCAATAGCAAACAATAAGTATAATCTGTCAACACATCTGGCCGATTTTAAACAATAGGCTAAAGATAAATAATCAAAACAAATTTCGCAAAAAAAAACAAAGGACATGCACATATGCCTGTCTATCTGTGATATTAACCAGGGGATTCGTTTTCTCAATACCAAATTACCATGCAAATCTACCATAATTTTTATTTTCTTTATTTATCTTTATTCAAGCATATAATATCTTTAAACTGATAATTTAATTAATGTATAATATTATTTTTAATATTGAATAATAATTGTTAATGAATCTTTTAAAAGTGATCATTTTGACAACAAGGACCGTGTTCTACGCCTATTGTGTAATCTTTTACTGTATCGCTTAAGAATCGATTCAATTTTCTCCATGGTTTTTTAATAAAAACGCCTTTTAAGGACCATATTTATTGTATGACTTCTCGCCCATTTTTTATACGCTCAACATAATAATCGTTCATCGCTTGTAAAATTTCATATGTCGAAAACCCCGTGAACCAATTTCAAAATTTTTTTTATGGAACAGATTACCTGTTCGTAAATAGTTTTCGCTGTCCATGAATACTCGTAATACAAAGAAGTCACTACAAGTGAATACAAAGAAGTCACTACAAGTGAATACAAAGAAGTCACTACAAGTGTGTTGCCGGCCTTTTTTGAGGTATTAGGCATTTAAGGACAGGGATTGGGGATTGAGGATTCAGTCTCCAGTAAACTTCCTCACGTAGCTAAACACAAGTATTCTTTCACGCCGGTATATATGAGGCCGTGGTATCATGTTGGTCAAGCCAGCCCATTTTTGCTGCAGCACGGCTGGACAGACTCAGTTGAAAATTTACAGCACAATAGCTAGCAAGTATAAAACAAGGAATTAGGATACTTTTGTCAAAAATTTGTACTCAGTCTAATTTTAATAAAAAAACGTTTCGGCACGAAACTAAAAACCTGTACAAAGCAGCAGACACTAATTTACCAAAAAAAACCTACCGTAACAACACTGAAACTGCTATTTATGTTTGTTTTATCGTATTTATCTCGAATTAGCAATCCATTGAAAATTAATAAGAAGTTTGACTTATAATGCAATCTTGTTATCCTCAAAATAAGTGCAATCTTGTTATCCTCAAAATAAGCTTCGTCTAAAAAAGGCAAACTTAGGGCGGCTTGCACCAAACCTCGATAGTATTTAGGCTAAAATGTAATTAACTAAATGTGTTTAAAATACTAAACACAATTAACATACACGCATTTAGCTACGTCTTGCACCATGCAGTTTGAAGAGATTAGCATGCATGATGTTTAGCAGTTTAGTTAAATATCTTTAGCGCGTCGGTAAAATAGTACGTTACGTTTCTTTTCATATAAAATTGAAGTAGAAACGTGAAAAATTGAATTCTATGCATGAAATGAGACGTGTTATGACAACCGACCAAGTTTAAAATACGTTCGGCAGTATGTTACGCTCTAGCATTCAGAGAGCTTTTTAATTTTGTATCAGTTTATTGTTTTGACTTAGCACAACTATCAAGTCTGCGATTATTTTGCTGTATGAATTTATTTACTAAAATTTAAGAAAATGAGTGCATTAATTACGAATTCAAGATCAAGAGCGCCTAATTTTAATAAGGAGGAGCAACTTCTGCTCATAAGAGTTATGTAGCCCTATAAACACATTATAGAAAGTAAGAAAACAGATAAGGTTAAGCAAGTTGTAAAGCAGGAGACATGGACAAAGATAACCGAAATATATAATTCCAACAGTAATAGAGTACCTAGAACAGGAGAAAATTTAATAAGCTAATAATATAATAATTGCATGGGTTACACGATGCACTATACGGCATGCTGTGGATTCATCAACTCCAATCAAGTCTCCACATGTAATAAGTTGACTGCCAGTGGCATAAAATCTTAATGTGCACAATATTTGGTTTAATGGGTGGACAGCATTATTCCTCTGTGAAGTAAACTTCAATTTATCTTCAATTTGATGCAACAGCAGTAACGTTGTTTCTTTTGTCAGCCGAAATCTACGTACAAATTTACTATCACTGAGACTATTGAACAAATTTGTCCTTTCATTCACTTCCCGGATCATAGGTCTACTGATGAATTCAATTATTTCTTCATCGTCATCGGAGTATAAATCAAAAAAGCTATCCATTTTCCAAAAACGTAGCAAGCTCGCAGTGAAACAACACAATACGAAAGGAAACAACCTAACCTATCCAACTCTCAACTCAAAACATATGTTCAACAAAAATGGCGCTAATTGCGTTTAGGCGCGTTAAATAGCCAAAATATGCTATTTAACTTTGACAGATACGCTAAACACAATTAGCGACTTAAATGACATGGTGCAAGAGGATTCACAAAGATAAACAAGAAATTCTATTTAAATATTCCTTAAATCAAGTTAAGACGTTTGGTGCAAGCCGCCCTTAGTGTCATTTAGAATCGAGATAGACATCTAGAATAACTCTAAGAGCCCGACTATAGATATCTAGAACTCTAGTGCTCTTACGAGTTCCAGGTAGCTCCTAAACTCAGACGTTTAGTTTGAGGACCTACTTGCATTGAAATAATTACGTTATTAAAACTTGACTAATATATTTTTCTGTTACATCTAGTATTCGTGCTGCATTACTTAAAATAGGCTACATTACTGCTAAATTATGGAGAAATCAGATTAAAAAAATCTTCATTATTGAGTCTTTATAAAATTTCGTAAATTTATTTTTTGGTTTTTTTCAGAATGGTCATACGATATACTAAACTCTTAAAGGCATTTCAAGGTCATCCTTTTGCACATTCGGTAAAAATAGACTTCTTGAATGATAATATAAGAATCAAAGTAAATTAAAAGATATTAGACATACAATTTATATTTCAAAAAACATGATTACATTTCATAATAACTTCAAAAAAAACTGGCACATACATTCAGGAATTCTGTTTGCTATGTTGAATAAGATGACTAGCGTAGTCGGTCTAAAAAGTACAATATTTATTCTTGATTGTAAGTTAAAAAAAACTCAACTATTCTTTGATAGAGTACTTATGCCAGAGTTTCAACCATCTCCAGTAAGCTGATGTAGACGCCAGATAAACAACAGAAGACCCCAAGAACTATGGTGATGATGTCCGAGATCAGCTTGTAACTGCCAGTTCCGTACTTGTCAGGGTAGAGTACGCAGATATCCAGCACAGCTGGAAACATGATCGCCGTCGTGGACAGGCAGAGTGATCCCATCAGTCCAATGAACGGTCCCAGTGTAGGTGCCGCAATCGCCATTAGAACTGCAACAGCTCATTAATTTAATATACTGACTTATGATATTATTGTAGTACTTCAATTGGGATAACTTTATTATTTGTTCGTTTTTAAGTGATTCACACATAATAATGCAGCCACTGTAAAGTAAATTCTCAAAAAAATAATTTGCCCTCGCAAAAATATTCTAGTTGGTAATCGAACAATTTAACTTTAACAAGATATGGAGACATTTTTATTTATTTATTTTTAACTTTTCAAAATAAAGATGAATTAAAATAAATAATCCTATAAATTTCGTAAACAATTTATTTTATATTTGTTTCGTTATGCCAGTTGAACTAATTAAACTAAAATTACCTATATTGGTAATAAAACCTAATAATCGTGTCAAATTGTGTGTAAAGGACTCGATTTACTACCTTAACCACCACTTACCATTTATGAAATTAGTCTGTTTATTCATATCAACCTACTCTTTACCGCTAATAACATTTATCCAATCAATAACGTCAAAGTATTTAAAATATGATACTCGTACGTATTCCTTAGAACATCTAAGTAACCAATTTAATAGTGTCATGCAAATCTTCGAAATTTCCTAAGAGGATTTATTTGTTTTTAAGTTAAGAATGAAACGCAGGGGCCTGCTATATTCTGAAAAAAAAGATTGCTATGCAAATAGAATAAAACGGAATGAATAAACTACTCACAGGGCACGGTAGCACATCCAAGGCGAAGTGCATAGTCCACCGTAGCTGATGGATGCTTTTTTTGCAGTATTAGCCAGAGGATTTGCCATGCCACAAAGTTTTGTAGGGGATACGATGTGAGTATTGTTCCAGCAAAAGCCAATTTAGCTGCTTGCGCCTTCCTACAGAGTAAAAATTACGGTTATTTTAAAAAAGCTTGATTATTACCCAGAGTATTGTATTTGTGTGCCTATTTGTCGAATAAATGTGTTTTCTTTCTTTCTTCTTTCTTTCTTTCTATATATTTACACATCCTCTGGCTAATGACATAATTAAACTTAAACAGAATTTCCAATTTGTGTCTAGACCTTTTTATAAAACCGATAGTTTTAGCGACTGCACGCGTGTATCTGACTGAACCAGACAGTCTCCCAACAGGGAGAGATGGCGGGAGATCGTACAGAGAGTTGCGTCCGCCTCTACCACCGATGTGGATGCCTCTACGTGACCACGACCGCTCTGCCAAGAGCGAAACGTCAGAGAAGAAGAGTTATAGCGATACAGCTATACTTCAATTACCATTTTGGATAAATAGTTACACTGCTAACTTGCAGCAGAGTAAGCGGATTTTACCCCATAAACTCATGTTATTTATGATTTTTTGAGCACTTAGTATCTGAAGATACAAAAAAAAAATGGTTTTACATTCGACCATGTTAGTTACAAAATGCCCTCTTCTATGCTTCTGTTCAGTTTAATCGCTACAAACAAAAACATGCTTCAAACGTGACGCTAATGCGTGGGGATGATATAATAAAGTTATTAAAAATACTAATTAGAAACTATTCAGAAATCATACTTCTCATCCTGCGGCAGATTGAGCGTTATTGATGCTTGAACTTCTTCTCCGTACTTGATATATCCGAAGATACCCAGGGTGGTGTACATGACGACAATAATGACCATACCGATGCTGAACAGCCCAAACAAGCCCGTGAAGTCCTTAGGATTTTCCATATTGCGCTCGAGTGCAAGAATCTGTGGACACGCAAATAGTGAACCCTCATTAAACAGGCTAAATCACTCCTAGGCGTTCCTTTTAATTTAGTGATACAGATTGAGTAATATTTGTTGTACAGTACAACAGGTAATTTATGTGAATATGATGCATTTTCACGTAGGTACCTATATATTTTCATTATTTAATTTGCAATTTATCTGTAGTGGTATATTGGCTGTTGAGTCGCGCGGTACGCTACGTGCCCTACGCTCGGGTCTGATTCTGGCGAGCTACCCTTGCTAGCCGACAATAATCAGTAACTGACATTATTTGAGGGTTGCTGAGTCATCTTAATGTGCACAAACAAAAATTAGTTAAAATTATACATTTATTGGTATTTTTTTAATTGACTTCGGTTTGAAAAAAAAAACATTTTCAATTCAAAAGTGTAGTTTGTCAGTTTTTCATGAAGTGTCATAATCACTTAGCATAATATATGTGATTCCTGATTAAGTTAGGTAGATCCTCAACAGTTTTTTCTATTTTAGTAGTTATCAGTGTATGACTGCTTTACAGGGTTTGCGGGATTTTTCCTCACTGCTACATTATTTGATGTGTTTAGCATCAGAATTAGGAACTTTATTAGGAATAATTTTCTTTGTGCATATGTACTGCATCGACATTTACTTTTAGATTCTTATCTCTGAAGTCGATACGTTTGTTAGGGATTACGGGATTACCATAGCAATTCAAGTTCATTCAGTTCTAATAAACAAAACACATACTAGTTTGTTTTTCGTTCACAGATTTTTTGCATTTGTAGCAAATTTCCAGTACCTACTGGCGTTTTGTCCACCAGATGTTGTGTATAAATGATTGGCATTTTAGTTTAGTTTTTTTATAAACACTCTTTGTGCTGTCGTCAAATAATAGACATTTTTCGAATACAATTTTTGATATCATACTTATATAAAAATAAATTGCTGTTCGTTAGTCTCGCTAAAATCAATGACGACGAGACCGTTTTGAATAATTTTGATCTTATATAAATGGTCTTATATGTCAGGAAATTAAATATTTCTGATAAACTTAGTTTACAAGAGTGAATTTATAAACGAAAGTAATCGATTCGGAAATATTCGATCTCCATTTCGAATAATTTTGCAACGTCACTATTTACTACTTGTCATAACGTTGCAACACTGAAATTTTCAAATCAGGAATCTAATTAAAATTCCAAGCATAGTTGATTTTACATGCGCACAGGTGCATCGCCACCTAGCGAAAAACAAATGTAAAAAGTTTTGAATTGGGTATTTTAGGTATCGGGAACACGAATTGATATATGGCTTATATAATATAATGACTTGCTACCGGATAGTCTTTGCCTTTAATGGATCGTGACGTCGTAAGACGTCGATGTGTGCATGTCAGATTTCCATTCGCATATTTTTGAACATATATTTATGTATGTAAGCTGTGTAATAGTTTAACACTTACCACACCCACAGCTTCCAGCGCATACAGGACTACTCCGATGAACAAAGGGATTTCAATTATTGATTTCATCTTCAACATGGAGTCCTTGAAGACAAGGTCCTCTTGAATCAGGTAAAAAAATATGAGAATTAGCCCGAACGCATTGCAACAATTGGAGAATGTAGACAGTGGCGCCAACACTTTCAGGTCCTTTATCATACATACGAGGGCCAAGAAAGGGTACAAACATAGGATAACTAGCCTCACTGGCAGGTCGCCGCCGAGAAATTGTATGAACTGTTGACAAATTAAATAATTAGATGTTGTAATAGGGACTCTATTGCTGGAACATTACAGATTATCTCATGTTAAAAGTATAAAATTTGATTTCTTTAGGCTTTCCTACGGAGTCTATATCGTTGTTGTAAAAAAAACGCGACTAGGTCTGCAGTTATATATTGTTTTAATAGGTAGTGCACATAAATCACGGTCTATATTAGTAGTATGGATGTCATCACCTCTATTACATGAGACTAGCCAACCACACCGCTAAAATCATTCGAAAATCTCCATTCGAGAATTGAATTTATTCATATTTATGACCTTTGCTCATTTAACGAACAAATCAAATTACAACAACTAACCTGTCTTAAATTTTCAGCGACGAATACCAAAAAGACCGCACATACTCCTATTTGCCAGACGAAGAGTAAAACTTCAACAGCAATGGCAAATATGTTGGCAGACCATCGCAAGGATGGAGGACCAGCCTGTAGTGCCAGCTTCATGGTTTTGGGGTAGGACAGGTAACCAACTCTGTGTTTCTTGCAAACCACGTACTGCCCGATGACCTGCATACAAATAACCTGATATTAGACTGATGTCTATACTTATATATAATGTCTCAATGTATATATATAAACCTACGTGTTTTATAGAAATTTGTATTGCACGTTTAAAATTTAATAAATTGATGACCGTAAATATAATCTCATAAAAATTTATGTGTCCGTGACATCATTAAACTATCTCATGACCTATCCTGAGACCAAAGTTGCTTTTGATAAAAAATTCCGGAGTTGATTTCCAAAAACCCCTCTTAGGGCTCTTTTACCAAGAAAAACGGGTATGCACGGTGAAGGAAAACATTGTAAGATAGCCTCTAATCATAAGTTGGAAATTGCCAATCCGCCTTGAGTAAAGTTGGTGATTAATACTCAAACTTTCTGCGTTTGAGAAGAGGCTTTTGCTCTGCAGTAGGCACTTACTTATAGGCTGGTGTTGTGCGATGAGCTTGTAGCATACATTTTTTAAGTATCAGTGAGATGCAGATCAAGCTATGTACATTTTTATCAATTTAGGCAATCTGCGACACTTTTGAACTTGTTCTATTTACCCATCATAAAAAGTTATGTAAGGGGAAAAAATTGTTAGCCCCTGTTACGGTGTTAAGGAGGTAAGCTAGATGGAACCTTAAATAATTCTTGGGGAACTCACATGCCATTCAAATTACGACATTTGGATTCCAATGTTTTGTTTGTTGTCTTTTAGTCATATAGGTAACATTAAGAACATGGTTTGCTTACCAGCATTTGTATACAGTATGTAGCAAAAACTCCTAAGAAGATGATGCCGATAGTGCCACATATTAGACCCAGGCGTTTGAAGGCGTTGGGAATAGCCAGCAAACCAGCTCCGATACAGGCCTTCAACATATGCGTCATAGTCTCCCCGTACCTGTTATCAGAGTATGTATGCTCTTTAAAACAGTCGTGGAACAAATAACTATAGGTTTATATGTAAAGTTGTAGTAAGCCGGCAACTTATTCTAGAAAATATTGAAATGCATTTGATATAAAGGTGATAAATTTTACCCATCTGCTAGCCACCGATTTCTTAACCAATGGACATCACAATGAGGGCAAGGCAAATAATTTTTGATAACAGAACCGACTGAGGGCTACCGAATATGTTTAACTTTATAATCGACTAAACTAGCGTGTCGAGTTTTGTCTCGTTAATTACATACTACAACCTTCACACTACAACCGTTGATGACAACTACACCTTCTAAAAGGACGATAGTAATAAGTGGGTAGTCGATGTATATGCATATACAATCGATGCCAGTCGATATAATAATATTTGCTAACAAATCTAAGAGGCTTATGTAGATAATTCTTGAGTCAAGGTATTTATGTCAGCTGGACGTGTAAACAAATCCACCGATGATTTGCGTGTGGCAAAAATGCGAGAAGATGTGCGAGTAATACAGAAAACCAGCTTTAATATATGTGGTTCCCTATCCTAGTTAGAATAAAATCTTAAGATCTAATATAACTTAGCATAATGATCTAACCATGATTGTAATTATATTATGCTTTTATAAACATAACGTTTTAAGCATAAATTACGTATAAAAATTAAAAAAAAATTTTTAGATGTATAACAATGAAAAAAATATAAGCGCCTACAATATTAGAAAATTGAGTGAAATTGGTCCAGCGGATACAGATTAAAAAAATAAAGAATTTGAAAACCTCGGTCGTAGAAGACTTAGACTTTAGACTTTTTACTGTAAAAAATAACATGTGCTGTAGAGGTTCACGTGGACGATATTAAAAAAAAAACTGACTGACTGACACAAAATGGTAATTCTGAAAATACACTACTAAATCTTTAAAAATCCTATATCAACAATACTAGCAGAAATTGACTAAACTAATTTTCAGGTTCACTTACGAGGTAGGATTTTCGACATTACGATGTTTATGCGGGTCAAAGTCATCATTTCCTCTTGAAAAAACTGAAACAGAAGATGCGCTTAAAAAACTTGTCATCAGTAAAGTACTAGAATTGTTCATAGTCCATCATTAGACAGAAAATCAATATTATAATTAAATCATAAATTATCAAAAATCTTAACGACGTAAACACATTAATTATAAACCAACTACTATAGCTATTGCCCTAAAAAAGATGCGTATACATATAATAGGCAAACACACCAATAATGAAAACCGTAAATGCTTTTGGTATACCTAATACTTAAAAAAATTCCTCGTTACATTGTAATTGAATTAATATTAAATTATTTATATTTATACATATAACATTAGCTGAACACAACAAGCGCGTCGAATTAATTTATAAACCGATTAATTACGGTTAGTACTATACACGGAACTGGTCACTAGTTGAACTTGATCCTACACATCACTATCACCAGAGCCTCTGCCCGTATCCCTTCGTAGATAAAGACGCGGGTACGTCGGTACAAACCTGAAGTACCCCCGCCTTTTGGGTCCGATGTAGCCGCTGCAAATATGTGGAACATATCTTTCTTACTTCTCGTACTATTGTTTATACGCAGTGGTGTTTCATTTGCTAAGGTTCTATAGTTTTATATTATTATAAATTTAAAATTTGTTTTGTTTGACACAAACGAAATTCACATAACTAGACATTTAAAACAACGCTAAATGTCAACTTTATTTATTTTTAAATACTCATATCAACTTTGAAAAAGAATTTATTCGTGCTGCAAAGCGATTGGAAACATTTGTCGCTCTTATCTATGTCACATGCTACAGAACTTTTACTTTTTTTTCAGGGGAAATTGTCAAATGTCTTCTCCCGCCCAGGGTAAGGCGAGAGGGAGTGTCAGACTCTTTCTGACTATAAACCCTCCCATTCCTTTACCTGCTCTGGGCCAGGCCGCGGTGACTCATTGCGCTTAATCCGCAACCCTGGCTGAACATCAGCCTCATAGGGCCCCATCATTGTATTGGTGGTTTATTAGTTGTTTGAGGCGCGCGCGGAACGGTACGCGCCGTACTCCCGGATCTAGTTCCCTTATTCGCCGTCCGCAGACTCGCGCTTACGATGGCCGGAGGTCATCTCTAGATCCCCGTCGCCCGGAATGTTCCCTACTGCGGTGGCTGGGATAGGAGGGATGGGAGGGGAGGATGATAGTTCCCTCACGCGCTCCGCCTCCTCTTTTGCGAGCATCACTGCTTCGCAGAAAGAGGAGACGGCTTCCCAGTTCCTCTCGCTACGATCCACGGCCTCGACTAGAGCCGGGCGCGAGAGGTCGCCGTCGATCACTTCCCCCGGACACGGACATGCTAAAGACGTACATACGCTGATTGTATACAAGTCAACGCCTTCATTTCTTGATAGTGAAATTGCCACATTCAAAGTGGAATCATTAAATTATGGCATAATTATTATTTTAGGGTCTCACTTATCACTACATAGTATAAAACAAAGTCAGTGATACCGCGGCCTGATAGAAGTTGAGGTTACTGGATACCCATAAATCCTCTATCCTCAAATCCCCTACAACACAACAACCACACCTGGAGGCACTTTGGTATCTCCGGCCCAAGTGGGCCGATGTCCAGCTGCAAGAGCAGGAGAAGAAACGGGATAGTTTTTGGGCTACGACATATGCCCAACTTTTAAATCGATTAAACTATCGTTTCCAGTTTTGTCTCGTGAATTACACAAGGCGATGGACAAGCGTAGCGATGCCAGTCGATATATTTCGTAAACAAATCCAACAGACCCCCTTCATGATCGACGCAAATAGCACACGACCCCCAGTCCCCGACAGCTCCGCTATTCCTGGTTTAGGTAGTGGATCAGGTAACGGCAAGGCAGGGGTTGCTAAGAATCCCCGGAAGAGGAATTGCTATCACCCCCGACGAACTTTGGCCCTGGTAACACACAACATCCGCACATTGAGGACCGATGAGAAGATTGTTGAGCTGGAGGAAGAATTGAGCAAAACGCGTTGGGGCATCTTGGGACTGTCCGAAATGGGAAGAGAGGGCCAGGATACGATAGTCTTGGCAACATGCTCTTCTTTCGGGAATGAGAATGAAAATCCCAAGGTGGTGTCGGATTTCTCATCCACAAGTCCATCATTAACAGCGTGAGCAGAGTTGACAGTGTGTCGAGTAGGATAGCGTATCTTATACTCAAAATAACAAATTGGTATTCAGTATACGCGCCGACCTCGATGCATTGCGCCGATGAGATAGAGGCTCTGTCTGAGGAAATATCCCAAGCCATACAGACCTCTAAAGCTCACTTTACTGTTGTGATAGAAAACTTCAACGCAAAGGTGGGCGATACGAAATGGCGATAAGTTGAAAGTGGGGCCATTTGAATGTAGGCAGCGGAACCATCGGAGACAGCTCCTGGTCAACATGGAGAGACTATCTGATGAACTCTTTCTTCCAAAAGCGACCAGCCAGGAGGTGGACCTGGATAAGCCCTGATGGGAAAACCAAAAATGAGATTGACTCCATCATGGCGACCGACAAGCGTATATTCAGTGATGTCTCTGTGATTGCTAAAGTGAAAACCGGTAGCGATCACCGATTTTTTAGAGGCATACTGAATTATTAATGTCAAGCTGGAAAGGTCACGCCTAGTGAAGTCAACAAGGACGCGGCCCGGACGGAGTCTCCGGAGGACTCCGTCCTTGCCGCGCTCAGATTCGGAACCCTGAAAAGCCTTTGAACTCCAACTGCACAATCGCTTCCAGTACCTTAAGGATTGCGAAATCAAAATAAAGCGAAACGTTTTAAGAATAATATCTTAAAGCATAAATTAGGCATAAAAATAATAAAAGATATTTTTATAAATGAAAAAAGTTTTGACATTTCAAATAAAATATTAGACACTTTTATGCAATATTGCTCTAATCAAATTTGTAGGCACTTGATTTTGTAGGTAGAGCAGAAATTATTGTTCATGCATGCATACATGCAACATCCCGCAGGCAGGGTTTCTATGACGGCTTTGGGGCTGCGGTCCTCCAGCGGCTCCACGCGTGCTAATTCGTGGAGACGGGTGTTGCGCACCACCGCGGCTGAGGCTGGCCGGCAAAGCCGGCCAACAAGCCGAAGCTGCGGCTCGCTCGCTGCCGCCTGCTCCTCAGGCCGCAGGCCTGCTCGTCCCTACGCTCCTACGCGTTTTTAAATAACACTCTAGAGTGGGACAAGCCAGAATGGCGGGGTAAGAGCAATGAGGCATGAGGCACCGCGGCCTCGGCCCAAAACAGAAGAAGAAACGGGGGGTTTTAAGTCAGTAAGAGTCTGACACTCCCTCCCGCCCAACCCTGGCCGAGATGAGTAATTTGATGATTTTCCCCTAAGTAGGACAAACAAGACTACGTAGAGTCGGTTTTGCACCAATTCGGTTCTGTCACTAACTTTTGTTCCACAGCATATTTCAGCCTACAATATTATTTCATTGTAACAGAAACTTTAGCAAATTGGTTTGCCCATCAAATTCTTTGCATGAAAATTGTTTTTATTGTTCATATTACTTGCTATTTAGGCATACTAAATAATATTATTATGCTTATAGACATTAGGCCTACTAACTTTATGCTAATAATCATTAGGCCTAATAACGCTATGCGAATCATATTTTCTTTAACATGACTTTGCCTACAATAATAGTATGGTTAAAAAAATAATGCCGAAGTATTATTATGCCAAAATCGTTATGCCGAAGTATATAAGGATAAAGAACATTATGTAATAATGGTCATTAATAATAAGTACCTAAATTACTAATCTGTTTTGTTCACCAACATATAAGAAATTGTTAAAATTCATAACAATAAAAGTTTTTTATCCGTAATTAATTTTAACGGCCTTTCCGTTGGTCAAAAACATTTCTATTGGTACCCATT